TTGCGCCAAAGCTCCCATAACTAGATGGTATGACTGAAATTACAGATTTCTAGATCCAACCGATAGTTGACAACTGTAAACCATAGTACAGGCTATTTTTCAAAATTCGTCGTCTATGGGATTTGAACTCTAGACCTGCCACTTGGAGAGAGTGACGACTAGACCACTACACTAAGTCGCCACACCTCTAATAAACTACAATTATATTAAGTAGTTTTTCTAAAAAGTTATAAGAAAAGAAAAATAAGAATAGAGCTTTATTACTTGTTTTAACAAAAGCTATTAATGAAAATCAAATTGATGACACTAATAATGAAACCAAGAATAATAGTAAAACTGAAAAAAAAAATAAATAAAATAAGTAACTAACAAAAATTCAAACAAAATATATTTGTAAATTATTGACTGGTATTTTATAATTATAGCTCTAATTCTTTCTCTTCTATATATTTAAAAATTTGATAATTATATAAAAAAAAATTTATTTTTCTTTTTTGTTGATATAGTAACTTTTACTAATAGCTTTTTTTTTAAATATATATATTTTTTTTATTTTATAAACAATATAAAATATATTTCTAAAACCTTGTATATCTTGTAATACCTAATTATAAATAGTTTTAATTATGTAAAAATGAATACCAATTTATTATCTGGGCCAAAAAAGCAACAAACAAAACTATTTTAAGTATAATTACATACTCTAGGACTAGTAATACAAAAAAGAACACTGTTTTAGCTATTAATAGTAATGAAAAGTTAAATGCAAACTGTAATTAAATCTAATTAGTAACATTGAAATTAAAGATAATACAACTAGTAATATCAAAATTGAAGATAGTATAAAAAACTTTTGTTAAGAAGTAATAAGATAGCTTTTTTTTATTTTTTTGAATTTTGTTTATTTTATAAAAAAAAAAGCTAATATAAAACTTTAGTGAGTTAGATATACAGAACCTATTTTGTAAAAAATTAAACCTGCTTGTGGAAACTAAATAATATATTTAATATATAAGACAATAGAGGTTTGGGTTAAAGCTCTTGAAGAGTTTTATTTTATTATAGACTATAAGAGTAAAATTGAAGAAATTAATTCAAAATAAAAAGATAGTAAAGAATACTATTTCTCTTTAATTCAAAACTATTTAGCTATAATCCGGCAGTATCTAAACCAATACTCTGTAATATTGAAGCTTGTAAAAATTCTTAACCCAAAAGTCTATTTTGATTTAAATATCATTGTAAATAGCAAGTTAAAAAATTTATTAGTAAAGGGTCTAAGTAAACATGCCAAATTAGATATTCTGACCTTGCAAAAAGTTAATAAAATTCTTTTTTATCATACTATGTAGTGCAATAATTCTAAAAGACTATTGCAATACATTTTTTTTATAATTTAATTCTTTTGGCTTTGCAGAGCAGTAAATATCAAGATCTTTAAATTAATAGATTGGATTTACCTGTACTAGATTTAGTACATTGTACTAGACTTAGTACATTGTACTAGATTTAGTACACAATCAAGTTAAATTATCTGCTAATTTTTGAAATTAACTACTATATTTAATATTTTTATATTATAATCCAACTCTTGGGGTATCTGTATAAGAAAACTGATAGCTTTAAATTCTTTTTTAAATTTTATAAAAAATATTTTATCTCTACAACTTTTAGTTTAATTAGTAGTTTTGAGCTAACTTATAGGATATTTATACTTATAAATTTTTTTTTTCTTAGTTAAATTTATAAAATTTTTAATAAAAGTTATAAAGATAAGCTTGCTAATTTCAAATATAAAATTTCTTTGAAATTAAACTAATATATAAAAAATAATTTAAATTTGAAGTTTTTATTAATGTTTACTATATAAATATATTTCTAAATTTATATTAAAAAATAGATACAATTTTTTTAAAATTTAAAGTAATATAACTTAAGATAAACTAATTATATAACCAAGAATTTTTGTAATTGAAATTAGATAGTAAATTTTTATAACTTTAATTAAGAATTTAAAGAAATTTAATTAATAAAATTTTTTTTAATTCTAGCTAAACTTGCATAGCTTACTATGAAGAGTAATAAATTGCAATAATTTTTAAAATATACTTATAATGCAAGTAATAATTATTATATAGAATTCGGAACATGTATTTTGGTTTGGGTTTTATGTTTAACCTATGTAAAAATCCCAATTCCCAAGCCCAAAGTATGTAGTAATGTCATAATTCAAATAACAGGTTGAATAAAGTCGCTAATTATAATATGCTAATCTAATAAATTTAATTAGTATTTGAGTTTGATACTATTGTTATATATTAGGGTTTGGGGTATATGTCTAAACTATGTAGAAATCTCAATTCCAAAACCCAAATTATGTAGTAATATCATAATTCAAATAACAGGTTTGGGCAGAATTACTAGTTACGGTTATAGCCGTAGATGAACCCACCCCTACACATGGATGTAGATAGTTCTGTAGTTATGAATTTCACTTGCAAATTTTAAATACTTAGGAAAAGTATGATTTCTGCTGATTATTATTTCACAAAACGATTGTATTGATTTTGAACAAACAGATTTTACCAAATGTGTATGAATATTCAAAATTTTATCGTTGAAATAACTTAGTGCATTGCAATTACTATATTGATAATTTAGACATATCATAATATCAAAGTACAGAATTAGTTTGCAAAAAGGTGTACCCTGTGATTTCGTGATATGCTAACAGACAAATTTCTGAGATTTTAATCCCCTTTTAATCATAATTTAACGTCTATATTTATTCAAAATCTTTAAAATTCTCTAAGAATCAGAAAATCTACTAGAATCGGCCGATTTCTCGTATTTTACATGATACCATTATCTGCAGAGGTCTCACCTTTTTGCAAATTATAAGAAATCATAAATCACCATGAGATATTAAATCTCACAAATTTATTCTAATCGTCTATAATTATTATTTAACTGTATTAACGATTTATTATAATTCAACCTGCATTAAGATAATTTTTTTTAGTTTACTACTAATATAATTTGGAACAATTTTTATGCGATCCAATCCTTGACGTGTAAGGGATAATATAAACTGTCTCATAATCTAAGACTGCACATAAATAAATAAACGTTTTTATACTTATTTTTTTATTTTGAATTTTAGTTACTAACTGAGCTAACACAAAATCTGTAATGGCCAAATATAAACAATTAAATTGTGTAACGATTTAAAAGCATATTTAAAAAATTCTTTTTATTGGGTTCGCATAAAGTTGTGACCTTTGCATATCATTATGTCATAAACATTAAACAAACAACTATAGAAACTACCAAATAAGAATACTAATATCAATACATAACTAAGTTAATTAGTCGATCTTGGAAGTTTAATTACAAAATTTAATCTCCAATATAATTTTGTGCGAAATTTAAACGAATAACAAAAATATTTGCTTGAATTATTTATCAATAGCTATAAATTATTTGTTTCATGATTTGGATTATTTACCATTGTGGAATGGCAATGCGCTATTCACGCATAAGACTGGGTCGGGTTTACTTATTTCTCACTGTGATACAAATCACGCGAAATTACAAATATTCCATTTGCTGCAAATTTGCCTTAACTTTAAAATTAAGAAAAATAGATTCTATACTAAAATTTTGCAATGAATTTTTTTTGTTATAACACGAGAGGAGGTTTTTTAGACAAAATTTTGAGTTATTGGCGATTTTTTGAAAAATACCAACAATTACGAACAAATTTTATGTTACACCTGATCTTACGATCTACATATAAAAGTTTCCTTTTTTGGTTTGTATCACGGTGGGAAATAAGGGCACGCAATCTGGGTCAGACTTTCATTAATTTATCGTTGCTGAGGCTATAATTACGAGGCGTGGTATTATAATGCGCAAGGTTACACAAACTGATCCACGCTGTTTTAGGTAAATATAACTCCGAATTTACAACTAAAAAGGAAATCGAATTTTGTAAATAAACTAAGTGCGTAAAAATAGAAGTTTAGGATTAGGACGTTAGGGTCATGGGCTTCAATGATAGGTTGGAGTTCCTTATACATAAAGTTTCATCCCCATTATTTTTTATTAGTTCATCAAGGTCGATTTAAACACACGTGTTCAGATTCTACTTAAAATTTCGTCCTCTGATTGGCTATTTCCTTTTTAGATGTTTGTATTACCCGCGCGAATAAGTGGCTGCCTAATTCCGGTAAGTAGGTAAGATAATGTAATTGTTGATTCCATTCATGTTTTACCGACATCTCTAATCTGCCTTTAAACAAATAAAGGATGCTGCCGGTAACACTGTAACTCAACTGAAAACCAAATCAATTGATTCGCTACCAGCTTATTAATAGCTTCAAGATCTGGTCGAACTCAGTCGGCAGAAGGATTAGAAGGATACAACATGATAGGTGCACGCTGAATTACTAAATTTCAACGGTGTTAAATATTTAATAGCATTAATGTTTTTGTAAAATGGAAATGTCACATATCATTTCCTTTACATAAAGCTCGTTTGTAAATCCTCAAGCATTACTAATTGAATGTGGACCACCAGAAGAAAACGAATATTATTTCCTTTTACAAACCAAAGATAGTATATTTTATGGCAACCGGATATTTCTCAGTATCCATTATTTGCATAATCGAAAAATAGACAGTTTATAATCTTTTATGAACAATTTATCACTAATATTTTTTTTTTTATTACAGCTTATAACTTAACAAAATTTTTAAGAAAAACTATTAGAATAACGAATTTGCTAAACTATATGAAATTTACATAGGGACAATATGTTTTCCAAGAATTAATGAATAACATACTCAAGTCACAGTTTTTCATAACCTATGTCACTAGTTTAATTTTAAATCATTTTAACTACATACTCTTTAAGACAACTTATTTTAGAGCACGAAAATTCTTAAGCAATAAAGAAATTAGTGATCAATTTAAAAAAAATTTATGCATACAACACTTATGGGAAGGAAGCTCCTGAAAATAGCAAATTTGAAAATTGTGTTGGCGGATTTTCTACAATTTGCATTCTCGTGAATGGATTTGTACCGTTAATTAGGTCATCAATAAAAGTACTGGCGAATAAATTTGCATTGCTCTGGGATATGAGAGGCGGCATGCCAATGGTTGGAGTTCTTTGAAGATGTCTATTAGCATTTTGTGGTCCCCCAATATTTTGGGGTCTTCGTAACTGACCATTATTATTTTGTGGCTGAATGCCAATAATTTGAGTCGTGGTTTGGTTCATAATTGCAAATTTTTTAAAAAAGAAAGGAGAAAAGATAGAGTATTTATACAGTACAATTTTTTTTTATGTTAATAAAGGTGATTCTAACCGGGTTACACCATTAAGAAACATTAGTATACGCTCATTATACTGTATCCGATACGTTAAATTAAAAACAACAGATGAAAATTTCCGTATGCAAGCTCCAAAAATAGCAGACCTGTCATGCACTAACTTTCCTAGGTGCGAACCACAAAATCTGTATTAATCCTCAAAATCACTTCAATTCTCTGATTAAAGTACTTACTTAAGAACGCCTCAAAATATTGTAAATAAGAATAACATTTCTTAAATAGGAAATTAAATAGTCTATTTCAAATTAGTGCGATGGTGGCACTTTGCACCGCCCACCTTATAAAGTTTTTTTTTATATTAGTTATTATAAAAATTCCAATATAGAACTTATCAACTAGTGTAGAAATAAAGAATTTGTTCGTAAATTATTTATAAGAGTGTAAATACTATCATATATTGAAAATAAAAATAAATACTGTATGTATTAATAGAATTATAATCTAAATATATGGGTACTTGTTATATGTAATTAATCAAATAGATATCTACTATTTTTTTCTTTGATTATATACGTCGAATTAGATAAAGATCTATATTGCAAGCCGCTGATTAAAAAAATCTGATTTTGATAACAAATAAATTGCTTTAAAATTCGCGAATTTTTGGCTTCTCCGTGTGTAAAAAAAAAAAAAAGACTTCATTGGTTACAAAGTATCCTTAAAATTACTAAACCTGGTATTTATGTTCACAAAAAAATTTCAGAAGTGCATGATTAGATTATGAAAAGTCTGAAATGAGTTTTGTGTGGCATTTCTCTTTAAAAAAATTTTTTTTTCAAAACGATATAACTGTTATATCAGTTTTAATTAAAGTGTATAAAAAGAAGTTTTTATTATTTATTCTTTTGTTACACAATTTAATTGTTTATATCTTATCCTTTACAACGTCAAGTGTTGGACCGCATAAAAATTGTTCCGAATTACGTTAGTATTAAACTAAAAAAGTTATCTTAATGCAGGCTGAATTAATGGTCAATACAGTTAAATAATTAAACGGTAAGAAAAAATTTGAGATTTCAATATCTCACTATCATATTAATAATTATTGCAAAATTTTTGAAATTTGTAGATCATAATAAAAAGAAATCATTTGTTTTTAGGTGATTTCTGATTTCTTAAAACTACTTTGAAATTGTGATATATTTATCTATTGGGTAATTTTAAGAAATCTAAAAATGCGTGAATTCTTTTTCTTGATCTACCGAAATTTCATTTACAGGACCGTATTTCTAAAATTTATATTTGCAGAATTCGATTCAATTTTAGGAATCATGTTCCAGAACTGTAAATCGATATAATATTGCAATGCACAAAATATTTTTCGTCGATAGATTTTAAATAGTAATACACGTTCGGTAAATCCATGTTTGAAATCAATAATATCGTCTTATTAGAAATCTGTAAAAATAATTTTCCAGTATTTAAAATTTTTCAAGTGAAAGTTCATAACTAAGAACTATTAATATTCATGCGTAAGGATGGGTTCGGTTACGGCTAGAGGGCTGAGCGGCAAAAATCATAACTTATTAGCACGGGATCTGGCCAATCAGGTTTAAACAGAATACTGCGCAGTTATTACAGTAATGCAACAAATTATAATGTATAATGTGCATAATAAAATGACTTACTGAACGTACCTATGGCATTTTGCATCTATATTTATATCATCTCTTAAACTTAAACCATAACGTGAAAAAATTTAAGTTAAAAATTAAAAACATTAATAATATTAAAGCATAGTGATAAAATACTTTGGGTGCGTTTTTATAATAAACCGGTTGTATTCTAAATGCTATATCGGGTATAGATAGTATGATGTGGCAAAGCAAAAGTCTTACGTAATATTCAATTTGTGGCGTTTGTACATCTAACAATGTAATAATTCCGTATTACATTGCTTATAATTTATGTACTATCTTATGCTTTTTTGGGGAAATCGGATAAACTGGAACACTTTCAGATATATAAAATATTAAGTAATAGTATTGTAAATACTATCCCTTAAACTGTTTGCTAGGCAAAGCTGCTCGGAATTTTCTTTATAGTGCCAAGTCATACTAAGCAAATGCTCCTAATAAATGTTCTTCCAAAACGGAGAACGTTGTACTACTAAAATTTGCCTGGAAAACAGTGCATCGTTTTTTGTTTTTTGAAAAATCGATATAAATTTTAAAGTCGGCGAGCTTAAAATGTAATAAAAATGCGCGAACATTCCTAAAGTTCCACAAATGCCTAAGCACCGAATTTATTAGAAATAGAGACTCTTCCTATTACAGAACTTTAGCTATTGCCTGGTACAGATTTAGGGATAAATAATAATTTAGAATATTTATCTAAAATCTTCTATATAGAGTGAAATTTACGAGTCTATATTTTTATTAAAGACACAGAATATTGTTGATTAAATTTGAAAGTTAATTATTAGTGCATAAAATTCACATGATGCAGAGTTTTAATAGGAACTGAAAGTACTGTATTTCGTTAACATTCAAAATTTTCCCAAAAGTCCGAAGGTTATAATATCAATCAAATACTATTGTACAGTATAAATTTTCTTTCTATGAAAAAGAAGTTACTTATTTGGCAGTTGTAGCAAATAAAATTCGCTTATTTTAATTCCTTTAGAATGACTTTAAATTTTACATATTTTTTGGTATTTATGCTCGGACCGATGAATTAACCGAAAGCGCAAAAATGCTTTCGGCACATACTAGTTAATATTAAGATTTTTAAGTGTTCTAAATATTTTTTGAAATCAGAAAATTAAACATTGATATAGATGATAGATAGATAGATATTATTAAAATGATAAATATATAAATAAAAATATAAATAAATGTAAATTATATTCTCTTAAACTTCAAGACAAAAAGCTTTATTATTTTTAATAATTGAACTCCATATAATATATAATATAGATTAAATAAATGGTTAAAGCGATTATCCTTTTCTGTAATGATCGATTGATTTGGAGATACATACACAGCCTAGCACAAAAGACAACTCTGGATTGAATACTGTACGCCTCTTATTCAGACTGTTGAAACTTGAATATCATTGTAACGACAAATACTAGTACTTTTATAAGTTTGGTCTCCGTGAAATATGATTATGTAGAAAACTTCGCATCATCACGTCAATCTTCCACAGTCCAGCATATAACATAAACTATAACACTGCATAAACCGTAACACTGCATAAACCATAACACTGCATAAACCGTAACACTGCATATAAAATATCTATATAATTATGAAATTAATCTGATATTTTGAACACGGGGCAAAGTTTTAAAAAATAGTCGCAAAACCTGTTTACAACAAACAATCTTGTAAGACAGTATTTACGTAATCGATACCAAAATACTATGTATGAACTGACCGATTGAATTGAAAATCATACATTTTTTCATACACTTGATTAGCCATAAACGTGGCCTAGCCGATACACGTACGTATCTGGTATGCATAACTGTACGTAGGAACTGAATTAGATAAATTTATTATCAGAGAGCAAGATAGTCAACGCCCTTATACTATATTCACACTTACCACTCAGATTAGCAAATACTTTATATTGATAAAAAAAGAAAATTTCTGTATCACATACTTGAAAGTGTTGTATATAGTCTGTTCCATTATAGCGCTTTGCAAAAAAAAAAAGGCCACATGACTTTCCTTCTTAAATATGCCGTAGTATTATACTGTAGTATAATACCAGTATAACACAAAATTATACACGTGGAGTATATTACAATACTGTCACGGGTTAATTTGACCCCGGGATTTTGTGATGCCGGGTTGGGATTTGCATTATGCAGGAAATTAAGTAAAAGTCTAATGTAGTGTAGGTTAATGTATGTAACTCGGATAAAATATATCCGGAGACAATCTCGTACGTACGTATTAGAGAACGATAGAGAAATTAGCTTTGAGTAAAACCGACATAAACGATTAACTAAATGACATTCCTTGTGGACGTTGAACATTTCCGATATAAGCAATCAAATAAAGTTAATTATGTTAGACAATTCCAAAAGATTCTGAACCATATTAAAATGAGGGTTATACCATGTTACACGGTATCATACGATATTATACCTGGGTATTGTACTATCATTTCTATTATTCCAGTATAATTAAAATTCTCGGACGGTCTACGGACACGTACCAATTCACGTGACTTTGCACGTACCGAATATCACAAATTTTTCTTAAGTTTTGAACAAAATTTCTCAACAACTGACTGTGGAATTCGATGAAAATTTTTTTAAATAAATTATACGAATTAGCAAAATTCATTTTTAAAAAATTATCATCGAATTCCATTGAGTTGTTGTCGATAAATTTTCATTCAAAGTTAGGGAGAATTTCTGCGGTCTTCTAGGAAAATAGCCTTGGCATAAATTTTCTAAATTCTGAACAAAAATCTCTCAACAATTATCTGATAGAATTCAATAAAAATTTCTTTAAATGAATTAAATAAAATATTAGAATTTATTTAAAAAAATTTTTATCGAATTCTATCAGATATTTGTTGAGAAACTTTCGTTCAAAGTTTAGAAAAATATTTCGTGGTTATTAAAATGCAGCAGAAATTTCCCCAAACTTTAAACAAAAATTTCTTGACAGCTACTTGTCAATTCGATTAAATTTTTTTTAAATAAATTTGAATGTTATATAAAATTCATTTTAAAAAAATTTTATTTAATTCTATCAGTAGTTTCAAGAACACTGAACTCAGTGATATTTCCGTGATCATCACATCACACAATTAAGCTCTCAGCCTAAGAAGTTAGGGTTAATGTTAGGGTTAGGTGATAATTTAGTTTAGGCCATTTTGTTAGTGACAGTAAACAAATGACATCATTGTGTGATTTCATGTGAT